ACATGCATGCTATTGGGTCCAATCAGAGCCCTGAGGCAAAAGATGGTTTATCATGGCACACATACATTATATATAGGGGGACACTGATGTGGGTAATGGTTAGCAAGCTTTCTTGCTAGAACAATTATGACTAAGTAGCAAGTTCAATCCTCACTGGAAGCCCCATACTTTTGGCCTTGTGCCATATCTATGCTACACTTAGAAAATCACCATACATTATATATGGACATGCAATGTCACATTTTTTTTTTACACTATTGTTCCCCAAATACAAGGCCCAAAATCCACTCAAGGTAGCAGATTGCTGAATGGCATTCTTTTATGGACATAAGAATTGTAGATTATGATTATATATATATATATATATATATATATATATATATGTGTGTGTGTGTGTGTGAAAAGTGTGTGTAAATATATATATATATATATAATTATTTATATATTATATGCGCAGTACTTATTAGAAAGCGCTCAATATCAGAGATAGAGCTAACATATATATATAACAGTTGAGCCTCAACTTGAAGAGGTTAAGATTGGAGCAGTCAGGGAAGCATCCCTTTGGGAATCTGTTCCACAAAGCAAACAGTGTATAATGAACATAGAATCAGTTATTTAATAATATTACTTATTTATTATCCTCATCAGCTTTTGGGGCTCCCAGATTACAGAAAATATAGCCTTTTTTTCCTTTATATAAAGAAAAAAAAACATAATTTCTATCATCCAGAGACTCAACAGGTGATGAGGATAAAATCACTTGTTCTGAGCTTGCCTAGTACTTCTAAGATTTAAATCATCAAGGAAAGTGTTGTATCCTTAAAGAAGGTTACAAACAGACAAAGGTGGTAACAGAGTGAAACACGGCTTAGATGAAAGAAAGAGAGGTTTATTGTAAAAGAGAATACACTACTGAAAGACAAGGAATCTGTTAGCAGGCTAGTAATTCCTGAAGCAATCCTGTGCTTACTATATATATCTACTGATATAGTCAGGCCACATTAGGCGATAGGGAGTGTGGGACATTCCATTACAACAGAAAGGTATATTTTAGCTAAGAGAATTCAACTATCAAGTTTATTTCAAGAAAATGTATTAGCCGTCTGTGCCAATACACATGTCCAATCCATTTTTAAGTACTCTTGTCTTTGCTCATTGACTGTTAAAGCCTCAGAGTTCAACAAAAATCAACCGTGACACTAACTCAAAGTATACATCAATGCTATAAAAAAATCAAAGGATCATTTGTGAAGAAAAATAGCTGACAAGGGAGAAGAGAGAAAAAAGAAAAGAAAATATTCTTTATTTTTAAATGTGTTCTTTGTCTTTCATTCTTTCTGTCTACATGTCTTGGAGTTTCCAAATTTCTTCATGGTGACAAATTAATCACTTAACAGTCACCAATAGTGAAATTCAAGAATATAAAATTGGTAACAAATTTATAACAGAAATGCCCGCATGAACAATGAACCAGAAACCAATTAAATGTCTGTGTATGTATATATATGTGCCAGAATCTAGACCTTACACATTTATGTGGCTACCATTTATTCATGCATTGAATATTGCTTCCACATCTGGTCTGGTGCTTCGGCAATGAATTTAGAGATGCTTGATATAATACAAAGAATCTCCAACGTTATTGGTCCTGGGTGTGTGTGTGTGTGTGTGTGTGTGTGTATATGTGAATTTGGAACACCATAAAATATATTAACTTTTGCTTAACCAGTGGAATGCATGTGAAACTCGATTAACCAATAAAATCAAACAAAACAACAGTAAAAATACAAGAATTTTTTTTCTTTTGCTTGATATTTAATTCTCTGATGAAGCTTTAATAAAAGTGAAATATGTGAGATTAGTAAACATTTTGTTCAGATTTCTTCTTTTTTCTTCCATTGTTCTTTTTTTATTCCATATATATATTTATATTATATATATATATATATATATATATATATATATATTTTAAGAGAAAATATGACAAACTGGAAAGGATTTTTTGTCATATTTTTCTAAATACTGTTTGCTGATATATAAAATTAAACATAATTATATAATATGTATGTACAGCCAGTTAGATCAGGGCTACAGGAACGTAGGACACCCATGTCTAAGATACAAAGACAAGCTGAAAAGCAACTTGTCAGCTGTAAATATAATACAACACATTGAGTGCTTAGCCTTGTAGTGAGTAGAATGGAGATCAACGTGTTTTAGTGGACTCAGCAGTTTCCAATCTACTTGTTTGAATCATCTTCAAGAAGCAAGAGCAAGATCTAAAATGTCAGCCAATCTAACACTGATCTCATCTCACAATCCTCACTCTTGCTCCATATGTAGCCACCTTTGTAAATCACTAGCAGGTCTTAAGTGCTACTTAAGATTATCGCATAAAATGTCATAACTGAATAAATTAAACTGTCAGATACTCATACGTCGAAACTGACATGAGAGTTCATTATTTATATATATATATATATATATATATATATATATATATATAAACAAACATTATATATACACCACTTTACATACACAAAAATAATATATATATACACACAAAAACAAAATAATGAAACAAAATTCAGAAAGTTTCTAACCACTTTGCCATACACAAATATTATATATATATATATATATATATATATATATATATATATATATATATATATATATATATATAGGTATAAATGTGTATATAAACCAAATAACTACATATTACTAACTGTATATACATGTGTTAGTGTGCATACACAGGTAAGCGAATAAACATTTACTCATTTTCATATAAGATGTAAACAAAACTTTGCTCAATGAGGTTAGACAGAGTTAAGAAGTATATATTAATAAATATACAGATACCTATAGTCTATAGTCTAACATAGGTAGGTATATATATATATATATATATATATATATATATATATATAGCTAGGTAAGTATTCATCCCACACTCTCATACTTACACTCCGGAATTGTGTTTTTTTTGTTTTCTTTTTGTAGGTCTGATGAATTGGATTGTATTTACGATTCCAATGGAATAAATTATGACCATGAAATAGCAGTGTTTAAGCCTTTTTATTATATATATATATTTGCACACAACTGGTGGCCAAATAGCTTGATTGGCTGATTTGTTTTTAATGACTTATCGACCTTTCGCAGGTTATTTATAGCCAGAAAATATTTTAGATGTGAATTTTTGGGAGATAATAATGATTTACTGATACAAGTTCTATTACTTAACCCTTAGTTGTGGGGAGATGAGGTGGTTTAATATCCTTCCCAAGATTATTTGCATGTAAGTGAATATAACAAACCTAAGTCTGAGCTGTTATTTATTGCACCACCTGCACATCCAAGCATATTCATATGTGAACCTGTGTTTCAACATGATATGACTGCAAACCATCAAGTAGGTAAACTATTCACTTTCTGCATTTTTCTTTATTTGCATGTGTGTATAGATATATATGTGTCTACACACACAAAGAAACATGTAGTATTTTATGTTTGATTGTAACGCTGCAGTTATAATAAGTTTTTCTTTTTTTTTTCTTTTTTTTTTTTTGTAATTTACTTTTATGTTGTGCCAAAAACAACATAGACTAATTAAAGATTAACCCAACGACGTGTTAATTTTTTTTCTGTTTGTGAAGATATTTCTTCCCATAATAAAGCTACTGCTGCAGCTTGAATCAGCCCATTAAATACTATGACATTTGATCTTGCACATCTCTGAGATCAAGAACACAACATGGGCTGAGTGGGCATTGATTGAAGCAGCCAGCAATTAAGAGCTAGCTTGGACCAGCATCAATGTTGACCATCACAGGGTTAGCCCTATAGTTAAAGTGTCATCCTAAGACACTGGGGACTAGACCACTAAATGTGGTTACACCATTGGGTGTAGTTAGCATGAAAAAGGGTTCTAATAAAAAATTAGGTATACGTTTGTTTGCTTTGAGGTGCCTCTGTAAAATAAGGCAGATGCTATGACAGTTAACAAAGGCAATCTTTATATCATTGATAAATAATCAATAATTATATTTTTAAAATGATCATCTTTATTATCTGTCAATATTTCTGAAATGAAATCTTGTAATTATTTACACTATTTATCTTGTTATCTTTATATTCACAATGTTTCAGTTAAAAGTTGAGTTAAAAAGAAATAATGAGATATCCAGAAGAGGCATGGAATGTGAAACTAGAACAATCTAATCCAGTGTATGAAATAAAGGGTTCGATTTGAAATTTCAATCACAGGGAGAAGGCTGGACCATACAATGGTTGAAACGTCATGAATATTGCAACAAAGTAGTCTGAACAATATAAATAGTGTAAACAATCACCTTCATGTGTCAGATTTTAAAATATTTTGGATAATGCGTACTTTAAATTTTTTCTGTGTTTCTTTAGATGTCAATAATTTTTCTTTCTTTTTTTTTTATCTCTCTGAGCAGACCACTGCAGGGGAATCCCAAAACAGTGTTGCAGTCTAGCATCAACTTAATTAAATTAAACTTAGGCTTGATTAATTGCTTCTGACTTTTATGGTTTACCAACCCTTTTGGCATTATTTAAAGCTGAAATATATTTTTGTATTGCAAGAAATTTTTTTTTTTTTTTTAAGTGAATAGTGCATTAACAATTTTTTGAGAAAAACAATGATTTCTCACTCAGATTAAAGTCCTAGTATTTAACCTATAGCTTAGAGAGGAAATGGATTGATACCTTTACCAAGGATATTTTTTTTAATATGTAATGAACTCAGTGGAATTTGAACTTGGCTCTTTATTTCTCTTTCCAAGTTGCTATCAATTAAATCATCTGTACATCCAAAACCCAGCCAATGCAAACTAATGTGGTTGATAACCAGTCAAGGTGAAGAACAATTCTTAATTTAAAATGGTAGAAAAGTGACAATTATAATACTATAGAGTTTACAGATATTAAAGAATAAGGAAGCTGTGGAGAGCTATGATTAACACTTAAGGAGGAAGGAAGAAAATATTCTGCTGAATACTGCACAAAGGAAAACAAAAGTCCAAAACTACAATGAATATCATAAATATTTCCAATCAGAATTTTGGACAATTTTCTCAAGCCACAAAAATTTATTTAAGAGGTTCTGTCAAATCCATCACTGAAGATACAATCCAAAAATATATATGGAATAATGAAAACTGGTGGGATCATGGAAATTCCACAGGGGATTGTTTTTTTTCCTATCCAGGTGATTTACAAAAATTCTATGGTAATGCCAAAGATTATGGAGGAGTCAGAGATGATTTTATAATTACTGCAGTCTCTATTTATAGAGACACAAAAGATTAGAATTAATTATGATGTCCCCCACCAAACAATCTTAAATGTTTTTGTTTTTCTCATGATTTCAGTTACCAGAGTTCAACCCCAGACAAATTCATTCATACATTTTAGTCTAAGATAGTCCCAAAATGTAAGTGTTAGTGATGCTGTCAATTCAGATATATCAAAAATAAGCCGTAAAGTGTTCAAATGAATTAAAAAGGCAAAAAGTTCATGACTTAATAGGGACAGAAATAAAAAGTCATATTCTGAGGTTGTCAGGATGAACAATTGTTAGAATTGTTCCTATATTATTATTAGTTCTTGTTATTAGTCACTTATTGAGCCTAATAAGATCTATGGTAAGAACAAATCTTCTATCTCTAACAATAACTTTTATTATTCATTATGGTTAGAATTGTTTTATTTTCTTTTTAGTTATTGTTGGTAAACTCTTACTGTACCTAATTTTTTAAATTTAACACATGTTTTTATTATCATATAAAGAGGGTAGGAAAAGTTCTCTGGTTGCCAAGAAAGATAAAAAAAAACATTCTAATATTTGGTTATTTAGTTTGATTCCACAGAGTGGTTTATACCAAGAACTTTCCAGTACCCTTTGGAATTTAGAGGTTACTACTCTCTGCAGTTTCAGGCATCTTTTGGGTTTGTCCTGGAATATCTCTGGTTGTATAAGAGGCAGAAAAGTTACTTTTATTCAAGTTTTAAAGATGGTGGCAATAAACACCAAATTATTTGAAAATCAGCTACTGTCCTTGCTTTTCCCAGCATGTATAACAGCCTTGCAAATGCAAACCTGCTCCTCAATGTTTTTCCCCAAACTTGTTGCCTTATGCCAAACTAAGCTAAATTAAATTCATAAAAATATGATTTTTATGAAATACTTTTATCTTTTATGGCTTCCAAGTTATTTTGCAAAGTTTTATGAGTAACTGTCTTAATTTATTGATTAATGCAATCCAACCCTGATTTCAAGACATCAATAATCAACACAAAAAAATTAACATGTTCAATATAAAAAAAAAAATTTAGGATGAATGGTTCAGCTGATCCCTATTTTCAAAAGTGCTATTAAGGACCAAGCAACAAGAATTTTCTGCAAATATGCAAGTTAAATATCTCAAAAGACAGTTTCTGGCCTTTACAAAGTTGTTAATTAATGGATTATGCTTAAGATATCATCGAATGAATATGTGAATATTGGTGAGGTTTTGGAGATGGAAACAAAAAAATTACTTGTTCTTGGCATTGGGAGGGGACAGTTAAAGTTTCTGGGACACATTTAATAATGAGGAAAGAGGACTTGGAAAATCTGATACTAACAGGACAGATAGAAGTCCTCTTTCCTCATTATGTGTCCTAGAAACTTCAACTGTCCTTTGATGCAATTTTTTTTTCCACTCACCAGCAGTTATGATTTTTTGTATACACATATAATACAAACTACAGGTGCTGGATTGAGACTGAAAATTGCATTGTGCATGTAATCCACTCATGCTACTGGAAGTTTAAAAAAAAAAAAAAAAAAAAAAATCGACATTTATTACATATATATATATATATATATTATATATATATATATATATATGCATTCATGCAGTCTCTGGCCTTTAATGGTCTGTGTTCATTAATGGATTATACAAAAGATACCATGGACTAAATATGTGAGAATTGGCAAAGTTTTTATTATTTAAAAAAAAAAAAAAATGAACTTGCACATCATGAGGGAAGGGGACTTGGAAAATCTGATTCTCACAGGACAGATAGAAGGACAGAGGAAAACAACAAATGACTTACTTAGTAAGCTTGAGTAAATGGATTGTAGAAACAAAGTTTAGGAGAAATAATGTGTGTGTGTGTGTGTGTGTGTGTGCAGAAATGTAGAAAAATAGGAAAGAACAGAAAAGCTTGATAAATAATCCAGAGTTCTTTAGTAATTTTTTTTTATTTTTAAAAACAGTGCTCCATATGGAAGTAGAGCTTAAATTATAATTATTTTTTTTTTTTAAAATGATTCCTTTGTTACATAAGAGTTCTCATGTTTCAAAAACAAGAGCCAAAAACCCTCAATATAATTATTAAAATTAAATTGAATTAAAGTATCAAGCCCTGTTTCATCCTCAGGCGAAAATTTAGGAATAACCAATCTTGAAATTTACACATTTTTATAAGCATGTTCATTCAAAAAATTAATTACTATGGAAACAACTGGGGTGAGCATTTTGATAAGGAGCCTAAGAGTTAATTTTATCTTTATATCAGTCACCTTCGGAAAGAGGTCAAGCCTAGGTAAGGTCAGGGTGTCCATTTCAAAGTGAATGATGACATTCATGTACGTCACATCATCTGGTCAGTCACAGTGAAAGATAGCTTTTGGCACCATAATAGGTCATTAAGTGTCTACAGAATTTTGTTTTATTTTATCTATTTATTTATTCATTTTTTATTTTTTTTAAATTTTTTTCTAAAGGGCTGTTTCATACTTAAACCCATCGCACTGAACTACAATTTGTTTTTTTTTGATGACTTCACAAAAGGGTTTTTTCATCTCATGGTTGGGTTAAGCTTTTAAGCCTTTTATTAGACTATGAAATTTAATTTTTTTTTTTCTAAAGGGCTGTTTTGTACATAAATGCAGGACCCAAAGAGTGTAAGTTCAATACCTGGTTAAGGCAGTTAGAACTTTCGAGGAAATTCACAGGAGATGACTGATAATTGACATCCATTAAAAAATAACAAGGAACTAGAACAGTTTTTTTTGATTTTAATAAATGGTTCAGTTCAACATTCCAACCACCTGAAGAAGGTCAGAGAGATACAATGGTCTGAAACATTGTAATAAATATGGCAAGGAGGACAATTTTAATAATGTAAATAATGTATTTCTTATTTAACAGTTAAAATATTTAATCATTGAAAATGGTTAAATGTTATAATTTAAAATTTTTTAAAAAAACATTCGACAGATTTTATATAATTTATCATCAGAAAGGAAAAAAAATTATCAGATCGATTTGAAAAAATTGTATAAAGAACTAAAAAAAAAACACCCTGTCTGTCATATTCAATGAAATGTGCATGAAGGAAAGATTGTTGCCTAAATGCACAAATATATATATATATTTTAAGACATTTTTATGTTTTACATTCTTTTATAGATACAAATATTTAAGTAAATGCTCTGTTTATAATAAACAGTATTAATAACATTTACCGGCCTGAATGTCTGAGAAATTTTTCATAGAAAATATTCATCCTCCGACAGGAATCGAACCTGTATCCTATATGGAACCGTTATATTTAGCCTGATGTGCCTTAACCGATCGAAAGCCATGGAGGATCATTCGATTAGCAAGATCAATTTTACTGCTTTTAAACTTCAATCTTCCATGAATCTCTCACGTACATTCATATCTGTTCAAAGTGTATCCAAATGTAAACAAATTACGTCACACATTATTTAATGGAAAAAGTCCGACAATTATTAAAAAAGAATGTATAAACATAAAAAATGTCTTAAAAATAATTGTTTAAATCGATTTCATTTCATTATATATATATATATATATATATGTATGTATGAATGTATAGAAATACAGAGATCAGTGAACTCTCAACCCTTCTCTATGGTGTTTATAAACTTGGACCCTGTACATTTGAGCACATAAATCAACTTGACTTTTTCACATGCACTGTCTTCATTATATGTCAATATGAAATGGGATGACAGAGTCAAGAATAGTTTAATACTGAAGAAATGTAACAACATCACAGGCATTGAAACCATTCTAGCAAAAGATAAACTTAGGTGGGCTGGTCATGTTGTGAGAATGGATGAGCATAGGCTTCCAAAAAAAGTGCTGTATGGACAACTTACCAAACTCCAAGTGTTCAGTTGGACATCCACTCTTAAGCTATATAAGATAAATCAAAGACACAACTTGAAACATCTCAATTTTGATCTGAAATCCTGGGAAGCCCAAGCATCAAACAGAAAAAAGTGGCATTTAAGACATATTTCATTAAATTAAAGGGTTTTTTTATGACAGTAGAGTGAAGCATCGTGATCAGCTTCATCAATCTCTATGCAGAGACACCATCAAAATCTTGCTTTTATAACAAATTTCATGTCTGTCAATGTGGCTTTGTCGCCTGCAGCAAGGTTGGGCTATATATATTAAGAAAGCATGGATGAAATATGTCTTTCACTTACCTGATTTTCTCCATCAGTATGCTTTGATGCTTGTATGCATAAGTGTAAAACAAAAGGCACCATCCAATGCTGGCCATCATTTATCGTTCATGATAGGAGAGTCCATTATACATAGTAATCGACAAACTAAAACTCAAGTAATTTGACATCGGTCAGAGACTCTTACCCCTAGGCTATCAGCGTATGTTATGGAGAAAAGGAATTTTTAATGCATTATATGTGGGATAAGCATTACCATAAATATATATATTTATCATATAACGCGCATGTAATCAATATAGTTTTAAGGTCTGTTATATTTATAGGGAAAAATTAATATTGTGTGTGATTATAATCATGGACACTAAGTTTTAAATGGCAACTGTTTTTAATGGTTGAATGTAATCTTCAGACCATATAAGATTGCATTATAGTATGAAATGACTAATGTCATTCAGGATCCCCAGACACTCAGTAGCTTTATTATATTTGCCCATACTAT